TGCCTTTGGAATTCAGATGAAGAGAAGTCTGCTCTAAATGCAGTCGCGTTGTTGATGCAGACAAACAGTAGCTGCTGCCAAGCCGTGTGGGGGCTCACGGCCCTCAAAGCTCCTCACCTGCTCCCCAGGTGGGTGCCACGCCCCCTTTTGTGAAATGCAATGCAACCACGTCATCCCCGTCACTGGTATGTTTCACCAAGCCAAAGATGCTCTTTTCCTAGTTACAGTAAAACTCTTGACTAAATAATCAGATGATGAAGTACAAATATTCAACGGCGCCCTGAAGGGATTAGATGACACCACGGAGACCTTTTTGAATTCATTTTGATTCTTCAGTAACGAGCTATTCCAGTATCGGCGCGGGGGTCTACGTGCACGGAGCTGGCCGACGCCGTTCAACAAAGGCAGTTTCAAGTCTTAATATGGCTCTTTCATCGGACTAAATGGGATTTTTTTTGAGTTACAAAAGATCCAGGCTGAAAGGTGAGCATAACAAATTATACATTAATTGAAGGTGATCGTTGAAAGGGACCATTTGTAGTTATACACCTGCGTTCTGTGGTCACTGCAGTAAAGGGTTGGTCCCATGCATTCTCTTTCTTATTCCGCGAAGCTATTACACGCAGGTGACCTTTTGTATGCTATTGAGGCCCTAATTCCAGTCCATGTACTCCAAACTAGTGTGAAAGGTCAACCAGGGACTCAAAGCAGTTTTGTGTTGCAGTTCATTGGGTCAAAATGAGCTGGACCCTTTTATTCTTGATTAAGTGAAAGAAGTGAATGTTGGATGTTTCTACAGATTCCACACACTTTTTTTGTTAGAAGTCACTGGCGCGTCAAATATATCGGTAGAAAAGATAATAGAGTTTTGAGACAAATCCGCTGCAGAAGATATGGGGATATAAAAGTGTGCTGTCTCGACAGTACCGTGTAACGAGCACTGGTTGGTCCACGGGGGAAAGAAAGAACAATAAATACATTTTACAACGGTCACAATGACTGAACAAACAAATAATGGCGGCGCCAAAACAATGAAGAGTGCTTCTAATCTGAGCATAATCATTTTATGTAACTGCTGAAAGCTGCAGTGCTCATGCAAAGCCCGGCGATCGGCAGATAGCGGCATGGAGGCGACCCGCTTCCCGGGCCGATATCTCTCCTCTGGCTTCCTGTGAGTGAGGAGCAGCCGTCACAGCGGCAGGAATTAACAGAGCGCCGGGATCCAGTGCCGGCTACGAAGGGTTCTGTGAAGAAATTGCCATTGATTTCCATCGATGCGATGAATCGCCGATGAATAGTGCAAAGACATGTCAGGAGACATGTCAGGCCACAGTGGGTCTCCTCCTAAACGTTGTGTTATTATAGATTATTGGCCCATTTACTTATAGCTTTTGTATCATTCACGTTTCCTATTCCGGCATTCTGAGCGCAAAGACTCAAAACAGGGTCTTGGCCAGAGCTGTTTAAGTGGGTTTTCCATCATGCTCAGAATCGCTTTGACCTTTGACCCGGCGAACACAGACATGATTTATTTTACTCCTTTTTCTTTGCAACAGTCCGACCGAAATCTACTGGTAGAAAAATGCCAAGCGCCTGCGGTGCAGCTGGCTGATTTACGCCAAGTCAGAGCGCCTTGAACTTCACTGCAGTCCTTTTTGAACCCACACGTTGCTTCGACCCACCCTCCTCCCCCCCGGTTCACATCGGACATTTGCATAAAAGATTCTACGCACTGCAACAGTAATTGGGGAAAACATCAAAACAAGATGAATAAGCGCTTCTAAGGGGAGACGCGTAAAATGATTGCAGAGGACAGCGAGTTGTCACTTAGAGGGGAAAACATCTTCAGTTAGAATTACGTGGGACATTTATAGTATTACTGAGTAAGACGATCAACAGATTGTTGTAAAAGGAGGAATGAGATACAGCTTTAGAGGTACTTGGATTTCTATTAGATTAGACCGATCTGAGAAAACGGTCCCTTTTACCAGGAAAAAGGTGTCAAAAAGCTGAAATTGGATACCATTTGAATTGAGTTCTGAACACTCGTATCTGCATTTCTTAATCTCTTTGAGGAGTATCTGATGCCCTGTGCAGCAAGTCTAAATTACCCTGTGATACAGACAGCAGTACACTACCACCTTGTGCCAATTTATTACAATAGATCTTTTTTTTCTTTTTCGCTAGGCGGTGGAGTGGAAGTCCGTAAGGACGAAATTTTTTTTTATATATATATATAAAAATATCAAAGCTGCCAAAAAAACACTCAAACATACGAAACGCATTCCTCACATCCACGAAAGCACAAGTGGGACTGCAGAGGAAAAGCCCATCCCCTCTAACCGAAGCCCTGAGGAACACGACTATTTCATCCCAATTAAATTCTGGGGTGTTTTGGGTTCGTTCGTTTCTCCCCAATAAGAAGTCATGAATCAAACCTAACGGTGAACTATAAACTATCTCGTGAACGGCAGCGGTTGTAATACGCCTCCGACACACACGCAGACATCTCCTGCACATGTTTTGGGACGTTTTTTTGTCATACTAAGATGGTGGAGGTCTGATATACATTTAAATAGGTCAAAGGCTATGCTGGTCAGCACGCCGTGTCAAAAGAGCGGCGGTAGGTTCGAATTTACGTGCCAAACTATTTCTCAGAACTGTCTGTGAAGCATTTTTCTTTTTGTAAGATTAAAACAAACAATATGCCCATTTGTTGGCGCTAGAGGTGCAGATGCTCAGGGTTTTGTTACCGTCACACAGACAGATAAGCCTCTGCTCACATTAGAAAGGACGAGGCTTCTCGATCTTGGCATCAAAGCAAATGAGAGTAAGATGTCGAACAATTTGTTAAAACCAACAGGAGTGTTCTGCCTCTGCAATGGGAGATAATCCCGAAAACTTGTTGAGTAAAAAGTAATTGTGGCGGCTTCAGGACCCAACGCTGTTCTGCTCGCTGTGATTGGAATGGATTTCCACGTGAAATCTTGACCTCCAGAGTAAGCGCCCGCGTCAGATCAATCCTCATAATGGTGTGTCTGCACGGATGTTGCAGAAGTCAATCAGAAGTAACAGGTGCACCGGAGGCTCGCGGCACGGCCACATCTTGGGAATGTGGTCAGAGAAAATATGCCGATGCTGTAAGATGCAAGCGTGTACTCAAGTCTTCATGTGATTTACACATTTTTGCATCTCTGGGTGGTGGGGGGGGACTCTTCTCCACCGTGCACCTGTATGCATCTGCAAAAATGAATTATGTAAAAATATCTCTGCGGGAGAAACACCCACAGACACGGCCGGCTCCTGAAGCCGGGACTCGGTGAGATGCTCCACCACCAAACACATAGATCCTCAACTATTCCGCTTCACCAGCTGGAGCCATGGCTGCGTGGGAACTGTGGCCGAGTTCACGGAACTCGTCCGGCCGTGCGTAACGGCACGAGTTTTACGGTTTTACGTTTTTAAAACACGGCTGAAATGAAAGCAGCCATCTGGGAAAATAATAAATGGAAGGCGTTTCAAGGGAAAGATGACAGTGGAATCACTGACCGCGGGCCCTCCCTTTAGGGAACTACATCCATCTTAACAATAGAGACACGTTCATCTTGTAAAAAACGCACAAAAGGTAAACTGGTTTGAATATGAATCATCTAGAGGGGGAACAAAAGCAACAACGACAACAAGAGACCGAAGGTCTCCACTCACGTACTGATTGGTTCAATTCTGCCTTTCACTGTTTGTTTACATGCCAATCGATGGTAAAGATTGCACGGCCCACTCGACTGTGCAATCTCACCCAGCCAAGAAAAGACTTGTCCTCACGTTTCAAAAGAGTCCTAAACGCTCCACATGAGACCTGCGTGTGCGGTTCAGCGTCATCTGAAGGGAAAACACCAGGAGGAATTTAAGCACTTGACATTATTTTAAGCCCAACTGGCGTATTGATTTCCTATGTGGGTCAGCAAAGGTCAAAACCGCTTCAGAGCAGCCAACTCCTCGGCTACCGGCCCAGGTTAACCTGGTTGGCAAGGCGTGCCACGTTGCCACGTGCCACAACGCATCATAAACATCCACCAATGACACCGCGCAGAGAACCAAAGCGCCACCGGCCAATACCCCAAAAATACCGTGAGGAGGACAGGTGATGTCTGAGAGGGAATGACCGTTGTCCGTGTCCGTTCTATACGTGGCAAAGAGATTCGAGCCCACCGGCTTCCCTCAAACTGCAGTGAAGCGCCACAGTTCTTCCCCCGCTGCCTCCCCGAAATAAAAGAGCCAAACCCGCGGAGGGAAATGCTGCAGGTTGGAGGATACACGTTTCATTTCGAATGGAAATCTTCCATGAAGGATTATCAATGCCGGGCTTTTTATTTATTTTTTTCTCCATCCCCTCGCAACTAAACGCGTCGACGGAGGACAGTGCGCGCGGGCGCGCGCGCGCGCAGCAGCGGCGGCGGCGCGGCGCGGCGCGTCTGTGGCTGAAAAACTGCAAACGCAAATCTGCATACAGAAGAAAAACCAAAAAACGCACTTCAATATCATTCAAGGCAACAACTTTAAAATGTGTTGATCCCACGCTGGCTGGCGCGTTATCGGCGTGCCCAAATACGCGGGTCCCGCGAAGCGTGGCGCTTCCCCGGCGCAGTTTCGTTTTTGCGCCCCTGCGCCTCAGAAAGAAAAAGGTGTTTTACCGGCCCCTTCGCGCGACTCTACCCAGATGATTTACCACTTATTACAACATTGGCCCTCCCCTTAAGCTTCCCCGGGCCAGGATTCCGCGCGTCGCGCAGCCTCAAATGCCCCCGCCCTTTATCGGGGGGGGGGGGGGGGGGGGGCGGCTGCCGCTCGTCCGCCACTCGCTTTGGCACACGGAAAGTTGCGCGTCGCGGATCGAGCTGACGTCCGGCCGTCCCGTTGATGAGCAGCGGGCGCCAATCGCTCAACTCAGTGGCCCCGTGCGCGGAGAGGATGTGACGGCAAAAGGCTGGAGAGAGACTCACCGACGGCCAGATCCAGCAGGTCTGCGCACAGGAGCAGGCACAGCGAGAAGACGGTCATCTTTCCCTTATTTTGCAATAAATCCCAAACTCCATTTGCGTTCACAGGCTCTCCGGGTCTCGGCCGTGTAATCCCCACCATTCCAGAGGTATGCGATTGAAAGGCGCCCCCGAACTACTCATGATGCAGCTCAAGTCTCGGGTGTGGAAATCGGAGAAGTTGGCGACGAATGAAACATTCGGAGCGGCGGGAGCGGAGCATCGGATCGGCGGGAAGGAAGAAGGAGACTCGCTGCGGCGACGGAACAAGCGGAGTGTTATTCTCTCCCTCCCGGTTCAAACAATGGGGAGCAGAGCGGAGAGAGGCGCTCTCTCTCTCTCTCCCCCCCCCCCTCTCCCTCCCTCTCCCTCTCCTCCCGCCCTTCCTGATCACTCGCTCTTTTATTTCACACAATTTTTCCTTAATCCGACCCTGGATTCAGACCACTCTAATTCTGTCCATTAAGCCGATTGGTTTTTGCAGGATTTTTTAAAGATCCTTATGCTCTGGTGTGTATGGAAAGTTTCAGGAGACGATCAAACGTGCTTCGCACTCCATTACAGGTTGCGATGGATTTCATTCGTTATGGTCCACTATTGGTCCACAAAATATGCATATTTGGTGAAACTGGGCCTCGGGACGCCGTGTAATGGACACGACCAGCCGCATTGGAGTCTTTCATTTGCCTCATTAGGGATCATCCGTCGTGCACGTTGGCCAACATTTGGATTCAAGTGTCGTGGCAGATTTCACATGAGATGAAGCGACCGAATTAGACAGACTGATATATTCTCACATGTTGCACGAGTGGCTGCAGCCCTACATTTTCATGCTTTAATGTCACTCAAATCACAAAGACTTGGATTAAATGTTAATCGCATTCAAAATGATCCTCGCATGTATTCTTGAATACATGACATTTTCCCGAAATCCCAATTAGCCGATCACACAACGACGACCCAGCTTCAGCGCGGTGACATTTGATTAGCAGACGCCGACTTGAATGAAAGGGAGTGGAAGTTGTATTTCCCGTCACCGTGGTCAGCTATGACTTCATGACAAGTGTTGAGCAGTTATTGTCAAGACTCCCCGAGCTTTGACAGGCGCCTCGGGCGCCGACATTCTAATCAGCGTCACCCTAACGAGGTTGCTCTGAAATGATGTTCGCAGCACTATGAGCCTTTTGTGAAATAGTCCTCTGGGGTTCCCTTTCAAAGTCTGGGCCGTGAGTTATTCCGGAAGACAGCCACCAGCATGCCAAATCTATCCCCCCCCCCCACAAAAAAATGCAAATTCAGTTGAATTAAGCCATCGGTTTCCTCTTTTCTGACTCAATGTATTCTCCGTATTCTTGTGTTGATCTGAGCAGCGGCGACCCTGGACACCTTCCACCGCTCCTCCGAGAAAGCTTCTCTTCTTTTTTCTCCCCGGAAGGTGGGTGTACGCTCGTTATTTAGACGGCGACCTGCTGCGTGAAAACGCCACGCCAAAAAAGACGACAACTTGTCCTAATTAAAAAAACAACAACATCAACAGCCCACAACAACATCAGAAGGAAAAAAGCTGTCACAAGCGCATGAAAGGCCCTCGGGACGCTTCCCTGGCTGAGGTCAGCGGTACTAATGCGTCCCCGCGCACATCTCTAGAGGGCAGCGCCAACAACCAAAACCAAAACATGTCGCCGTCCATATGGCGTCCAACCGAGGGACGAAGACGGGTCTTCGGCCATTGTGAACGTTTCCATGTGGTGGCTTTTAAAAAAAAAAAAAAAAAAGCCTTAATCCCGCGTGAGGGTGTGACGACTAAAGAGGGGGAGGAGAGCCGAGACGCAGACGGAACTGACTCCTTCCCCTCTGGCCAGTGATCAATAAGTACTTGTTCCTCGGGGGTAAATTTGAATTAGCACGCGCATTAGTTTGCCCGGCAGCACCTCGTCTAATTGCTTGTTTTGGATGTAAATGGAGTTCATGTGAGGTTCAGAGAGCCCAAAGAGGCACTCGAATCCCAAATGCAGAGGTCAGGACGCAACCGGCGGCTCCGTTTAACCTGATAACATGGCCGACATGTAGGTTAAGAGAATAGCTGTGGATGTAAGTGAATGCGCCACGTGCTTGTTTCCACCAGGAGACTTAGACAGCAGATCCGGAGACAACAATTTATGGATGAATGTACACAAAACAAACACCTCATCTTATTTGTTTTCATCCCATCCCAGATCCTGCCCTCCCAATGAGCCCCTCTCCTGCAGCCCATCCCATCCTCACTATTTAGGTCCACTCGCCCGGCCTTGTTCCCTGCCGCATCATCTCGTGCGTTACCGCCGAGCTCCGCAGCGTCGCTCTACTTCCTGCACCCGACCCCGTTTTGACCTTGGACTCCCTTCCTGCACCCCGTTGGATTGGTTTGCCGCGTGTGACGGATCTCCTGGTTTTCCCGCTGCTTGAATACTGAGTAAAACTATATTGCAAAATATTGTAGATATATGTACCTACATATTAATCGGGAATCATATGTACTCCTGGGATAAAATCTTTTTAATCCAATTGCAAGTTCAAGCCCATCGCGCTTCTGCCAGATGAAAGAAAAAGGAGATCATAACCCTGATGTGTGAAATGGATATTCAAATAGCTTGAGACGGCTTACACATGTGCACAGGTCTTAGAAAAGTGAGCTACACTATTCTCTCCCTGCACCACACCTGATCCCCCGTCTGGAGAGGATCAGGGACCAGGCCGCCCCAGGTGGGAGCCTCTCTTGGTTTGGGCCGTGTCCGTGAATTTAGGTTTGATTCACCTTTTCATAGAGAATCATCCAGAGTGCATAGATAGAGTCAAGCCCGGGCCTTTTCCACCCGAGAGTATCAAGTGCTCTTTTCCAGATAGGATGGTGACTGAAAGAGAGCATCACTTTTCTAAGTTGCCTTTGACTTCTGAAGGGACTCCATCCCCGACGCGCATGAAGGTTATTTCCGGACCCTTCTTCCAGCCAGAGCTCGCCAAGGTGGGTCTGCTTGGGAATAATTTAACGCTTGACTTATCAAAAAAAACCACAACTGCGGGGAAAAAGAAGTTCTTCTCAGCTTTTAAAACACATTCTATGTGTTCGTTATGTATCACAGACATGTTTCCAGTCACTGTCTGCGTACGTGTGCAGAGCCAGAAGCTCAGAGTGCATCTGTGGGTCAATTTTACATTGTCTGCAATGTACGACTTCAACAGCATGATCAAATCTTGTGATAGTGAATATAATCTGTGAGGAAAACATGTTTCCCTCGGAGCATAATTGACGTGACAGGGTTTAAGAACAGACACATATGTTTAATGTATTCCTTATTTTTGTGGGCTTTGTTTAATTGGTTATAGAAAAGGGAACAATCTGAAAGGCCTGATTCATTTCTGCCACTTTTTAATAATAAAAAAAAAAAAAATGGATTCACATAGTGCATGCAAATAACTGTTGTTACAGTATGAGTATCAAAAAACCCACAACCGATGAACAAGGGCTGGAATTCTTTCCTCCCGGGGGGCACGCTGCCTAAAGCCAACCAGGCAGTGCAAAGACACAGCTCCAACAATGTGCTCACATGGCGTTTAACTGCAGCAGCAATGCCGGCTGCGAGCCCTCCGAGGAGCCCTTCAGGACAGACATGGGACATTTGCAACATGCACAGCCCTGAGATGATTGCCCTCGAAGGCTCAGATGGATCCGTCAATGGAAGCGCCCCACAAGAAGACATGAATCAATTGGCTGAAGCCACTTTGATGCACAAACCTCGTTTGTGTTTGGTTTCTCGGGTCAGAAACCTGCAAAACGGCATTCGCTCAATCCCGAAGGGAATTCACGAGAGAATCTGTCGCTGCGAAACTATCACCCTTTTTAAGAATTAAAAACAGCGGCCCGGAGGATGTTTGTGAGATTTCAGGGAAAACCAAAGAGAAAAGATCCCGTGTACCTTAAGCCAGAGTGAATGATGCACAGCGCGTGGCAGTCAGGGGCGTCCGCGCTCAGAGAAAAGCTCCGTTTGCGACAGTCAACAAGGAATCAATGGCGACGTTAAAAGATGAGGCTGAAATGAGCACGAGGCCGTCCTCAATCAATGCAGTTGTCCCTCGTGTTGAGTTGAAATTCAAGGATGGAATCTTTTTGTCCTCGTCTGCTGGTGAAAACACCTGCTTCTTCCAGCGGAATTTTCCAAAATTGCCAGTCATTCTGAATCACTCTTTCAAAAAAGAAATAAATCATACGCTGGTTTGAGAAAATATGTGCTGCAAAGTGCATTGAGAGCTTCGGGCTCTTGCCGATACAAAACTATTGTGTGTCACAATAAAGGCTCGTTGTCGCAGGTACACCAGGAGTGGGGCGTCAGGTCGGTGTTGGACATTTTTACAGTGATTCCTTCTGGTTCGCTCTTTTTCTGTAACGCAACGCAGACTTTGCTTCTTAACGCGAGTGCGTTCGTGTCAGGGTTGGATTCACACTTTGTCCCACCTCAGTGATGGAGGGAGGGGCAAACAGAGCCGATGGTGCTGAACAAACCACAAGATCTGCAAAGCGAGTGTCGATCCCGCACAGCTGAATGTCAACGACTGACATTCAGCGTGTTTGGTGAGGTGTGTGTGTGTGTGTGTGTGTGTGTAAGGGACATTGCAGTGAAACGGATACCTTCTCTCACGGGGGCGTAAACGCCTTAAAGCGGGGGGGGAGGTGTCCTTTAAGGCCGTGGCTCTCAACTGGTCTGGCTGCGGGACCCACCATCACCGCTCGACGACAAGCCGCCACCCAAATCGAGGAACATTCTCAATTCTACTCCAATTTATTTAATGAAAATATGGTGCAGTTTGAGGCTGAGATGGTGTGGAGACAGAATACGTATGCCAACACAAAAACAAGTTTAATGAAAAAACAAAACAGCCAGCTGTTAATTCTCATTTTTATTTTACACCAGCTGAGAATCACCGCTTTAAGGACAGCGTGCCTATAGACGGGTATCTCAAGTGTCTCTTCCAATAGTCTCCACGTATTACTCAAAATTTAACCGAGGGTGAAATGCGTGGCAATGAAACGGCCTCCTCTCATCTGTCGACGTTGTAAACGACCAGCCAGCCGCTAACCGTCTTGTGATTTGGACCAATTGAATTGCCCAGGTACAGTAGGATTGAACTTTAATTGTCGCTATTACTCCCCCCCCCCCCCCAAACGGCTCTCGTGTTCTTAGTCTTGTGTGAGGAATATTTATTCAGACTATCACGTCTGAAAAAGCTCTTAAGCTTTCATTAGTGAAATTGCGACACGCTGAGCACTTTGAAGTAC